AGAGTCGCCTTGGAAAAATCTGTATCGCAGAAGGTGGCTGCAGCTATGCCGGTTCGAGCAGCTGATAAACTGGCTCCTGCTCAGTACATCCGGTATGACCCGTGCTTGGAAGCCATCGTTTCGTTTAGGCTCTTTAGAATTGGGGAACTCCTAAAAGTATTTTATCCCTTACTATTCACTACTCCATCTATCAGGATGTTGCCTGTTGACCTAGTGGTGAAACTTTTTTTCTTCTTGATGTAGAGATATAATCTATATTGAAGGCTGTAGTCTTTGTCATCTGCATAATGCATGTTGTTGATGAGTCTTCCTCCGATCTTAATGCCACATTCAAAGGGTCGCCGAGACTTACAGTCAACTTAGTGGCTCCTACAAGAACATCGTAATCACAGTTATGAATGTTACTTCTTATATAACCTGAAGGCACGCAGTTCGAGGCTGCCAGCTGCTCCATGGGAGAAGAATGAGCATATCTCCTCCCGTGTGATTAACTGCCTCTGAAAACCTACCGGAGGGTCAGCTGAGGGTCGGTTCCAACTCCACAGCACTCGGCAACAACTTCTTATATAACATCTTGAAGCTTATTACTAGCTCTGTAAACATTTGAAAGTAGTCCATTTTTAAAAGATAGTTGCAGTTAAGATCTTAACTATTCTGTTTTCAAAATACATATTTTTCTTTTTGAAATTACTAATTACAGTATTGTATTAAATCACTATTTTTGTAGTCTCCATTTATATATAATAGGCAAACGAATGATATACATATATATGTATGTAGAGATTTAACTTTACATAGAGGAATAATTCACTTATGGATATTAAAGAGAAATTCACAGCAAGCAATAATAGTAATAATGCCATCTTCCTATTTTTTGTTTTATAATCTATAACTAGTCAAAAACTAACTGTGGTTATTAATTGTGTGTTGGGAATGTTGTTGTTGCTTTTGTTATGTGCCATCAAGTTGCCTGTGACTCATGGCGACCCTTTGTACAGCAGCCCTAAACCCTTCTCTATCCTGTGCCAGTCTCATTGTCTCTGACACACCTGCCTGATTACCCCAGTCACTGAATCAATCCACCTCATAGAGGGTCTTCATTTTCTGTGTTGTCCTCCACCCTCCAAAGCATGACGAAGCTTCAGAATCCTTGCCTTCAAGGAGCAGCCTGGGTTAACCCTCTCCAGAATGAACCTGTTCATTTTCTTAGTCCATGGTGTATTCAGTACTCTTCTTTAGCACCACAGCTCAAAGGCATCAGTTCTCCTTCTCCCTAGTTGGGAATGTTAAGGGACTCGTTTTTTCAGGTATTTTATAAAAGAGGGAAAGTACCTATTGGAAATACCTATTGAACTGGTTACATCTTTAGTTTATTCTGTATTCTTCAGGTACACACCATCTCAACAAGGAGTAGCTTTCAATTCTGGGGCTAAGCAGAGAGTAATTAGGATGGTGGAAATGCAGAAAGATCCAATGGAACCTCCAAGATTCAAGTAAGTAGGAAACTTCATTAGAGTGAACTAATTTTAAAAAAAGAAGTCATAGCAGTTATTTGTAATAGCCAAAAATTTTAACAGCTTAAGTGTCCATCAGTGGGTAAATAAATAATGGATGGTGTATCCATACAATGAAACACCACTGAACAATAAAAAAAGAATAAGCCGTGAACATAATTAATAATGCAGTAGCACAAGAATCTCAAAATAATTATTCTAACTGAAAGAAGCCAAACAAAAACAAATGTACCACTCTACTTACATAAATTTCAAGAAAATGCAAACCTATCATCAAATCATCATTGGCTAAGAATGAGGAATAAGAGCTAGCTTAGGACATGCAGAGACTTTTCAGAGTGATAATTGTGTGGATGTTTTCACAGATGTGTACATGTGTCAATATGATAAAATTGTACACTTTATATATGTGTAGTGAAATGTTTATCAAGTGTATTGTTAATGATGGGTCATTTTGGTTTAAAATATATTACTTTTTTAAATGACAGTACTATTATAGTGGTGGAATGGGTATGGAATATGACATAGTTAACAGTATCTGAATAATTGTTGGAGCTAAATGATAGATGAACTCTTGTGGCCTAGTGGTAAGAAACTGCTGCAGTCTCTCCCAAGTTAAGTATTTACAAAATCAGTGCTCCTGCATGCTGCATAGTATTCCATTGTGAGAATGTATCATAACTTCTCAAGCCATTCGATGGTGGTTAGACACCTGGGCCGTTTTTATGTTCTTGCGATGGTAAATAACGCTATGAACATTGGTGTACAAGTCTCCGTTTGTACCTCAGTTCTCATTTTCTCAGGGTATTTTCCAAGCCGTGGATTACCTGGGTCATATGGAATTTCTGTGTTCAGCTTTTTTGAGGAAGCACCCAACTGCTTTCCAGAGTGGTTATACCATTGTGCAATCTCCCCAACACTGTATAAGAATTCCTATGTCAACCACATCCTCTCCAACATTTAACATGCTGTTAAACTTTAAAACTGTTACATTTTGCCACTCCTACTGGAGTGAGATGGTATCTCATTGTGGTTTTGATTTGCATCTCTCTTATTGCCAGTGATTTGGAGCATTTCTTCACATGTCGTGTTGGTAGGCCATTTGAATATCTTCCTCTGTGAAGGAAAGACATCCATGTCTTTTACCCAAGGGGGGTACTTAATCGTGGGGTCACACAAGTTAATGGGTGGGTGGGGTTAGGGAAATAGGAAGGAACTGCTGTGGGGAAACAATGTATTCGAATTTTGTAAATAAACTAGTATAATTTAAAAAAAAAAAATTAAAAAAGAGAAATTGTGCTGCAATCCCGAAGGCAGACAGTTCAAATCCACCAGCTGCTCCATGGGATAAGGATGGACAGTCTCTACCTGTTCGATTACCTGCCTCTGAAAACCCCCTGGAGAGTCAGCTACGGGGTCACTTCCAACTCAACAGTGTACAACAACAAATGATAAATATGTAGTAGATTGCTGTTGTTGTTTTATGCCGTCGAGTCATAGATGACTCATAGCGACCCTATGAACGAATGGCCTGAGCACTATGTAGTAGATAGGTGTCCATTATTAGACCATCTGATTTTGTCTGCAGCTTTACATAATAAAATAATGAGGAAGGGATATTTCACATAGTATTGAAAGAAGGAAAGTAAGTAACTCTGTACTTAAATTTCAGGATTAATAAGAAAATTCCCCGGGGACCACCTTCTCCTCCAGCACCTGTCATGCATTCTCCTAGCCGAAAGGTAAGATAAGACCCTTGGTGTTGTAAAAAATCTTTTTCTCATTAACATAACCCCTGCTTCTAATAGAATAAACAAGGCCTGCTATTTCAATGCACATGAAGGGGTATTACAGGTATAGGACTGAGCACATGGGCTCATTAGGTCTTTGATTGATAATCTAAATGGATTTGTAAGGTGTGTTTCTGTTACTCTCAATAAGTTTTCAACTGAACAAAATCACATCACTTTAAATATGGAAAAATATTAGCTGTTATTTATAACTATCATTCTTTTCCGTTTTTATCTTAAAGATCCATGAAAGAAGATTTTAGCTTTGTCTATATGTTACGTATAGTATCTTGAAGAAAAGGATTTTGGATTTTTAGGTAGATTCCAAATCTAAAAATGTCTCTTTCTTTTTCAACTCAGATGACAGTGAAGGAACAGCAGGAGTGGAAAATTCCTCCTTGTATTTCAAATTGGAAAAACGCAAAGGTAAGTATTATAATACAAGGTAGTCTCTTAGTATTGTAACCTACCAGAAAGCACCCAGGAAAAACAAGTACAGCTTACACCATTAGTTGCAACCTCAGTACCTTAAATGTTTTAAAGAAGGAACGAACATCCAGTTGAAGTGAACTTTCTAAAAATCAAGATTTATGAGCATCCACATTCTGGACAGCTTTTGCTTCCCATTTAAATGTTAAATTTAAAATGAAATGAATGACTAACATCTAGCCTTTAAAATGTGGTATTGGAGAATAGTAATGAATATCCTGTGAACTGCCAAAAAAAAATCTTATCTTGGAAGAAGGCTTGAGCATCTCTGAGAGCGTGAAGATGGAGATTTGTTATTCATAGTATTGCTGAGTTAGTCAACTCAGTGACACTTTAACAATGAACAGCAACTAAATAATTCTTTAGTATGGTTCCCCTTGACTTGCTTCTTGTGCAGCTTTTAAATCACTAGCTAGGCTAACTAAAAACCGTATGCACCTGTCACAACTTTGATGCAATTCTTTAAAAAAAAAAAAGGGATCTGATCTTATCCGTAACCTGGTAGCTTCCTATAAAAGAAATATTAGTATACCAGACACAGTTTATAATTTCTGAAGTGACTGTATGACATAGATTAAATGGTTGGGTATATTCAGTGCCTTAATTTTTCTGTTTATAATATTGCAGGCTTGTGCTATTTAAATCCTTTATATTTCTGTTAATCAGTAAAGCTCCGGGTTACTGTTAAGAATCTTGAGAATGATGAAAGATGCATTTTCTCTCTACTCTCTTCCCCAGTTGATATTTCATAATTGTATTTTTGGTGGGAGAAGAAAGCCTCTTTAACTCATGGATTAAATATAAATTGTTCTATAGAGAAGTTATATAATCATCCTAAAAATGAAAAGAATCGTTGTATAGAATTGTACTTTGAGTTGATTCTTTTACACTTGTATATTTTAGGTATAAAAACGATAGACTAGAGAAGTCAACATTTGGGAATTAGAAATATGGACAAAAAAATCTAATTATGTTACATGATTTGCAAGTATATATGGCTTAAGATGTTGAAATAGTGTGAAAAATTAGAGAACATAGGATATCGGTTTTCTAACCAACATCATTTTTCATTCATTTACTAAAACCTAAAAGATCCTCAGATTTTAAGTCATTAAATCACGGCAGCATATAAGACCACTTATAAACTGAAGCTGATTTTGTTACCCCTCTTAATTGTTTATTGAGGGTGCAGCCATTTGTTAATGATTTACTTTTCTTACCAAGCACTGTCCAGTCCTGGACCATCCCCACGGTTTGAGCTGTGTTTTAGCAGCCCTTTATCCATCCATCTCATTAAATGTCTTTCTCTTTTTCACTGACCTGCTACTTTACAAGGCATGATGTCTTCGCCAGGGATCCCCAGAGTACGTGAAACACAGTCTCGCTGTCCTCACTTCTCAGGAGTTTTCTGGCTGTGCTTCCTTGAGGACAGAAGTCTTTTGTTCTTTGGACAGTCCGGGGTATATATTTGGTTTTCCCGACCATCACCACAATTCAGATACTTCAATTCTTCTTTGGTCATCCTATTTAATGTTCAGCTTTTGCACTTATACAAGGTGACTGAAAATCGTTGGCTTGGCTCAGGCACACTTAGTCCTAAAAGTGACATCTTTTGCTTGATAACACTTTAAATAGGTCTTTTGTGGCAGATTTATTGAAAGTAAATCTGATTTACCTTGAGTCATTTGATTTCTTGACTTCTGCTCCCATGGACCTTGATTGTGGATCCAAATAATAAAGAAACCCTTCACTGTTTTAATATTTTCTCCATTTAGCATTGTTGTTACATAATTGGAAAGAGAGTAAAAAGAACCTTAACAAAGTTGAAATAATTGCATAGTCCGTTTTCATGAATGTTTTGTAGCTGTTTTTGTAACTGGTGTTTTTTCACACTAGGGTTATACCATTCCATTAGATAAACGTCTGGCTGCTGATGGAAGAGGACTGCAGACAGTTCACATAAATGAAAATTTTGCGAAACTGGCCGAAGCCCTCTATATTGCTGACCGGAAGGTTGGTCTGTTGTTTAGGTTTCTGATGCTCTCGATCACTGTAAACCTGCTCTTGGTTACTTCTCATTTAGCTACAAAGACCCTAACCTGTGGTACATGTGCCGCAGATGACAATTGCTAGGTGCAATCTGTGCAGCCTCAGCTTTTGTAGACGTGACGTCATTGGTGACCCAGCTCCCTCCTGGTATTGAAAGGCCAATGGCGTTCTACCAGGGTTGCTAACTGCTGCTCTAGAGTTCGTGACTCGACTCTACTTTCAATGTAAATGTCAACCTCCTGGGGCAATAACAAGGAAACATACTGCTAATTTTCATGCTACAGAAAACAGCATTAATAATACTGGCTATCTCTTGTTGCTAAGGTGTTAAATATTATGGAATTAATTTGCTTGTTACCCTGAAGTTCACGTATGTCATGGCATGTTTATACATAAAAAAATAATGAAACTTACTTCAAGCAGATGTAGACATGAAGGTTTTTTCCTTGAATTAATTTGTTTAGTTTTAAAAAATGTTACCAGTCAGCATCAGTATTATTGACATTAAAAATTGTTTTATTGCAGTCTTGGTTGGGTTTTTTTAGATTGTTTCTGAGGAAGCATTAGTGAATCACTAACTTTTAGGATTGATTGGATGCATTAGTCTTAACCACTGAAACATTTCCCATAGTGAAAAAGCCATTTGTAATGTCTTCTTGGCAGGATGTCTTCATGGACAGGGATCTTTGCTTTAATCAGCAATAACAAATCTGAACTCTGCATAACTAAAACATTAAGCCAAACTCAAGTCAGGGAGTTAGATGCCAGCTGTAAATATTTTTTATAAGATAGTGTCCTATTGAACATTTTCTTTGTCTGACAGGCTCGGGAAGCTGTGGAAATGCGTGCCCAAGTAGAGAGAAAGATGGCTCAGAAAGAAAAGGAAAAGCATGAAGAGAAACTTCGAGAAATGGCCCAGAAAGCCAGGGAGAGGAGAGCTGGGATCAAAACCCATGTGGAGAAAGGTTTGCCTTTCTTATTATTACTCAATTGAATTTCTTCTGTAAATACATATACATCATTTTAGAGTATCTTTATTATTTTTCATTTTAGAAGAAAATAGTGATTAAATTCTGGTATTTCAGAAATTAAACCCACTGCATTACTTCTGCTTTAACTTTATTAGCAACTGGTGGATTTGAACCACTTCACTTGCCTTTGTGTTGGCAGCCGTCCAAAGCTAAAGTAACCAGAGCTTCCACCAATTTTTTTGTTGTTGTTTACTGTCAAGTCTCAATCAACCTGTAGTGGGTTTTCAGACGTATGAGAGGAAATTGCCCATATGCCCACGCAGCATCTGGTAGATTTGAATCCCATGCCTATGGTATTGCAATGCAACTTTTACCACTAGGCCACCATAGCTCCCTTACGGTGTATTAGAAAGTAATAATCACAAGTGTGGGGAAATGAGGCAGAGGAATCGGATAAAGGTAACACAGAGGATGATCAAAATACAGATGGTAATGTCAACACAGAAACAGAGACTTGAAAGAATTAAAACACATGACACGTGATCTTTGTGGATGTATGAGAGAAGGGAATCCCAAACAGATGGACAGGAAATGCAAAGTAATGGAATTAGGAACATGGCTAGTGTGATCTAGAAAGAACAGGGAAGGTCAGTGTGGCTGGAGTGGCATGAGGAAGCAGGAGACTTAATACGAGGTGTCAGAGTGGGAAGAGCTGGTGGGTGGCAGGAGTAGTGGCCATAAAATGTGTGGTCTCAGCCATTTTAAAAACTTCACTTTTATTCCAAATGACAAGGAAAACAACTGAAGAGGTTTGAGTAGATTATCATTAACGTATTTTCAAAGGCCCACTCTTTTCAAAGGCTCACTGGAGCTACTGTAATAAAAATCGCAGCAGGGAAACCATTTGAATGTGCTCCAGTAATCCACATGCCAGTTGACAGCAAGAGTCTGGTTAGATTCTGGGATGTATTTTGGAGGGGGAACTGACAACTTGCTTATTGATTAGGTAGAGATATGAAGGGGGGAAAAGAGGGAGAGATAACTCCAGAATTTTTGCCCTGAGCAATTGGAAGAATTGCCATTTACTACTGAAGAAAGACTAGGGAGTTCAGTCTTGGAAGGGAAAGATGAGCTTAGATATGGACTGAATTGTTATGGTGGAATTGTCAAGCCAATTGATTATAAACATCTAGAGATTAGCCACAGAAAGTAAGTATAAATTAGTGACTTAATGACGCAAGATACAAACATCTAGCTGTTGTACACCTCCTGCCACCAGAACCAAGATTTGAGTCTGGAGGATATCATCAGTGCTCTTGGTCTTAAGCACTACTTGACCGACCAAGTATCTCCTCAGACAGGAAATGAACATGGACATAAACATAGGCAGTAAAGGGGCAACCAGTTCACAGAGACCTCAAGCAGTAATTATTCAGTAAAAATAGTCTTTTAAATAGAAGAGTGGGCTTGCATCCATTTCTTTTTTCCCCTGAGACTTCATAGGAGAATTTCAAACATATGGAAAAGTTGAAAGAATTGTGTGGCTTACGTGTCTTCTTACCATCTATATTCCACAATTTCCATTTCCTAGTTTGCTAAATTTTAAAATTTTCTTTATTACACATCTATCCACTGTTCAGTACAACTTATCTGCGATATTTTTCATAGTAAATTGAGGTCATCCATATGTTTTAACCTCTTACTACTTCAAAAATATAGAATTCGCATTCCAAAATTAATGATAGTGAATTTTAACCAATGGCAAGTAAATAATGTTTTTAAAGGCTATATGCAACCACAAAAAAGGAGTTTATGGTGTTTTCTAGTTAAAAGATGGCTCTCTCATTTGAAAGTAGTATTGCATAACATAGTATTTAAGTGATTTTCAAATGTTTGCATGCAGAGGATGGGGAGGCTCGTGAAAGAGATGAAATTCGGCATGATAGGAGGAAAGAGAGGCAGCATGATCGCAATCTGTCCAGGGCGGCTCCTGAAAAGAGGTAGGTGCTTCTTGAAATAAATAGGAAGTGTTTTTCATGTGCCTTTCCTCTTGACTCTCAGTCCACTTCTCTTGAGCTTACTTAATAAAAAATGAGGTCTTTCTTGCATTTAACCATTTTGTCATACAAGAAAAACTGCCTATCACTGCAAGTAATTTTTTCTTCCATCACCTTATAGAGCCAGAAGGTGTGCATCATGTTTGTGAAGAGAAGCAGTGGATAGGAATTTTCTTTCTGGCATTCTTTTCCTACTTGATATGAAAAGACATTTATTATATACCAATTCCTCTAGACAGAAAATAAGCTGCCGCAGTTACTTAAAAGACTCTTTTCCTATGCAGAGTACTGAGTACAACTGAGGAAAAGGGCAAGTTTTTAAATTATTCCTTCCTTATGAGCAGTCCATCAAATGTACAAAGCACTGTATACAGGCTTGTATAGAACCAACCAAACACCACCTATATGGAGACATAAAAGTGCTAGGCAATCTGTTTGCCCAAAGACATGAGAACATGAGATTGCTCAATGTTTGAGGAGCTCTGAGGGCAATTCTAGGTGAGAAGAATTAAATGCAGATAGGAAACATTTTCTTCACAGACGGTACTTTTCCCTGCTTGAATCATCCTGAGCTGATAGTCTGGTTTTTTTTACCTAAGTCTTAAGCATGAAGAGACCCCTCTTGGTATTTGTTGTTTTGATGCGTATGTTTCATCCACCTGGCTAAGTGAAGGCAGAAATGATTTCATATACATGACACTTTGAAATCCTCAAAATTATGAAACTTAAAGTTGCTCTGTGGATAAATTGGGACTTTAAAACCCCTAGTGGTTGTGAAACTTGATAACATAAGAGAAAAACCATAAACTTGTGATTAATGAAAATCATGTTCTAAGACTTGATCTTAACCGTGATGTAAGTAATGACTACTACTATGGTTTCATTAAATCTCTAGTAGGATAAGATTATTACAGTTAAGTGAAAGAAATGGCTTGTGGAAGAGCTGATGACACACCAAGTTTGTATCTAGTTTCCCTATACCATCATAGAATAGCAGATGTAAACTATAGCAATTTCCTGTATTCGCATACATTGTTATTGCTTGTATTAGAGAATGCCATGACCAGAATGAATCTTAGCTGTTCTTTTGAGCTAACAGGAAGCCAGACTGTAAACCATGTATTTCCCAATACCGTGTATCTGAGATGTGTGAGGGCTGCCAGCCTGATTATGCATTAACAGGGCATGCATGTTTGCAAGACATGAACATGACATACTCATTTCCTTTGCTTCCAAGATTGGTTGTATTTAAATTAAAATATTCAGCATGTCAGCAAAGAGTTTTCAGTCAGTGATTTTGTGTTTCAAAACAGATCAAAATTGCAGAGAAATGAAAATCGAGATATCAGTGAAGTCATTGCTCTGGGTGTACCCAATCCTCGGACCTCCAGTGAAGTTCAGTATGACCAGAGGCTCTTCAACCAAACCAAGGTACAAAGTGTTAGGAACCTGATATAAATGAGCCCTTAAGGAGCAGAGTGCAGTGTTTCATATGAATGTAAGCAGACTGAACCAACAGGAAAGCCTACCATTTACATTTTATTTAATGAGATTTCTTTTTCCACAGGGTATGGACAGTGGTTTTGCAGGTGGAGAAGATGAAATTTATAATGTTTATGATCAAGCCTGGAGAGGTGGCAAAGATATGGCCCAGAGTATTTACAGGCCCAGCAAAAATTTGGACAAGGATATGTATGGTGATGACCTTGAAGCCAGAATCAAAACCAACAGGTACCAACCCAGGCAACTCAGTTTCCAAGTTTACATCAGTGAAAACAAGGTGGTTGGTTCATAGTGCTTTCTCTTTCTCCCTAGGTTTGTTCCTGATAAGGAGTTTTCTGGCTCAGACCGCAGGCAGAGAGGCCGAGAAGGACCTGTTCAATTTGAAGAAGATCCTTTTGGTTTGGACAAATTTTTGGAAGAGGCTAAACAGCACGGTGGTTCTAAAAGACCCTCGGATAGCAGCCATCCCAAGGAACATGAACACGAAGGCAAGAAGAGGAGGAAGGAGTAGGAGGACCTCTTCCCAGAGTGAAGGAACTATGACCGTAATCCTGGAACAAGGCTGAGGGTGGGATACTTTGTAAATGGTCAGGATAAAAACCAAATCTGGGTGTCAGATCCCAGCACTACTTTTTATTATAGGAAAAAGGATGTAAAAAATCTACTTTGAACTATTTTGGTTTAAAAAGAGTGGGTTGTTCTCCCACCTTTTCAGCTTTGCCCAGCACTTGTACGTAAGACCACTCCCTCTTGTGTTATACCAGTAGTTTGGGCTTAATCTACTGTAAAATAGACTCCTCATCAAATAACCCCAACCACAGTGAGCAGGCAGGAGGTCACACCACTTTGGAGTTGTCCCGCCTAGCAATAAGGACCCTCTGCCTCTGTTGGGCCAGTTTAGCTTGGAGTGGGGAAAGTAAGCTCTTGCTTGCTACAGCATTTGTTTAAAAATAAAAACACTTAGAACAATGTTTTAGTTAATGTCTGTTTTATCTAATATGGATTAATATACTTAAAAATCTTTCTCTTCATCAGATGTTTGATTCTCTTGTAAAACTTTGGGTCTTTGAGCTAGAACGTGGATCTGGAGGGGGGAGAAAAATCAAATAAGTACTATAAGGAAAGGCAGAATCTACAGAAACATTAGAACTGAAACCACCACTTAAAGGTTGCCCATGTAACAAGATTGTTGTTGAGTACCATGGAGTCAGAACCGCCTCATAGCTGACCTTCCAGCAGGTTTTCATAGGCAGTTAATCATACGGGAGGAGACTGCCTATCTTTCTCCCACAGAGCAGCTGGTCAATTCACACCATGTGCCTTTGGATTGGCAATGCAGTTCTTTACCACTAGGCCACCACCACCAAGAACTCCAGCACATACCTTTCATAAGGCTGCCTAAGGGTCATGTAAAAAGTGATTCAACACTAAACCCACTGCTTTCAAGTCAGTTCAGTGCATGGTGACTGCAGGACAAAGCTGAACCATGGCTGTAAACTCGTAACAGCTACCTCTTTCTCTTGCAATCTTTCACTTAGTAACCAAGCACAAAGTAAGGCCAGTAGGGCTCATTTTCAAGGTCACACATTGAAGTCAAGATCTCAACCTCACTTTAAAGTAGGCTGCTCTTCCCATTGTTCCCAATATCCTCGCTAGCCACTAGGGAAATCTGGTGGCCTAGTGGTTAAGAAGCTGCACTGTAATCCAAATGCACATGGTTCAAATGCACCAGCTGCTCCATGGAAGGACGGGCAATCTCCTGTGTGATTTACTGCCTCTGAAAACCTGCTGACGGGACGGTTCTGACTAGACAGCACAGAAGACAGGCTAGCCGCTAAAGGGTCTTTCCAAACAAGGAGATGGGTAGGTACCATCCAAGTTATTATGACTCACAGGAACCCTATGAGTGACAGATGAAGACCTTGCCCATCTGGGCCGTCTCACCATCCCGGCCATACTCAAGTCCACTGTTGCTGTCCCTGCATCAAATCCATCTTTAAGGCCCTCTTCTATCGCTACCATTTTGAAACTAATATTAAGGACGCTTCAACCACTAATCTCCCCCAAGACCCTATCATTCCACACTGCCCGTCTATTCAGTTAGTGTGCAGAAAGCTCCTTATCTATAACAAGTCTTACTTTTACTCCATCGATAATATGATTTTTCTGTTGCAGGGCATTCTGAAGTTCTTCTTCTGAAGAAAACAGAATCCAACCCATACCTCTGTGAAAGCCGGTGTCTCTGTCCTAAAAATTCAAAAAGATTAATCATGAACTTGAGAATTCCCATGAGTTCCAAATAAAATTTTGCATTGCCACATAGGAATATAGCTATCTTAAACATGAATCACCTTGATTGACCTCACATTTTATCCAAGGTTTAGGTCATACTTAAAAGTTAACATTTCATCCCAGAGGCGCACGGTTCAAATCCACCAGATGCTCTGCCGGGGAAGGAGGGACAATCTCCTCCTGTACCAGTCAGATCTGATTTGACGGTATACTCACACAAAAATAATAAAAAAAAACCCAAACATTGCCTCTCACCTCTACTGATACTGAAGACATAAAAAAAGGGGGCAAGGAATTTTCTATATCGTCATGGATATAAACAGCAACAGTAATAAAAGGATTTTTTTAGAAGGGAAAAATTACTTTTCCTTTATTTAAACAAACTGAAAAATCAAACCTCGTGGCATTTTAATTCTCTCCGAGGCCAAACACGATTGCCAACCCCTCCCCCTTTTATCAACATCAAGTTCCTAATGAGAGAAAGGATAAAATACTATCTTAACTGAATTCTAGACTTAAAGTTAATGGAAACAACTAGTCACTTCTCCTTATGAAAAAAGCAGGGTGCTTGTTCATGCAGCTATACATAAGCACATGTGGAACTAAGGATCTAGTGTGTTTGACATAATTCCTATCCTCTGCTGTTTAAAAGAGTCAAGATGTCTATCATGGAGATGATAATTGGGTCCTGTCAATCTTATTACAAAGTTATATTGTGCTTGCAAAAAAAAAAAGGTATGAGAAGCTACCCATACTTCAAAAGTAATTTTGTATTAATTAACCTTAATACTTCCAAAGGTTATGTCAAAGAATATTTTCTGATGTGCAAATGATTCACTTTTCTCCTAAAATTCTGCAATTCTTAAACCATTTCCACACGCAGACATTACAGTTTTTTTGTGTGTTGAAACTTGGTGTTAGGTACTGTCAAGTTGACTCATAACGACCCTACGAACAACAGATCAGAACCCTGCCTAACTGGTGCCATCCTCACACTTGCCGACACATTAGAGCCCGTTGCAGCAGTAACCGTGTCAATCCACCTGATCGAGGGTCTTCCTCTTCTTTGCCGACCCGCTACCTTTCTAAACATCATGTCCTTTCTCAAAGGAATCCACAGTATGTCGGGCAAAGTCTTATCATATCTGCCTCCAAAGAGCACTCTGGTTGCACCCTGTGTAAAACATACTTGTTCTCTTAGCAGGCCATGGGATGTTCAGTACTCTGTAGTACCACAGCTCAAACGCATCAATAATTCTGTCATCCTTATTCGTTGTCTAGCTCTCAGATGCATAGCAAGTGAGCAGAAAGACCATGGCCTGACTCAAACGCACCTTAGTCCTCAAACTGACATCATTACTCCTCAATAATTTGGAGAGTCCCTAAATGTAGACTTTTCCCAGTACAAAGTGTATCCTGATTTCCTGACTACTGGTACCAAGGGTGTTAACTATGGATCCAACTTGAGATTATGTAACCATGATAGGAATTCGAATTTCGAATTTTAGTACAATTAATTTTGCTAACTAGAAATTAATTTCGTTAGATTTTATTATATAAAAAATCATCCTTTTGTGTTAACTTCAGATCCTAAATTATCTCTACATCTAGGAAGAGAAAAGAAACTAAGGAAACACTTGTCTTGCAGCTTTTATTAAACTTCTTGAATGCTTTTCACATGTATGCCTCATTCTTTCAATCCATTCTATAAAATTCTACTTTATAAATGAACATTTTGGGTTCTTTTTAAGTTACTTGGAATCAAACAGTGTTGCTGTGAACACTCTTACCTAATGCACTTCATAAGGATAAATTCCTAGAAATGTAATGGCTAGGTGAAAACAAATGCAAATTTTTAATTTTCATAGATCTTGCCAAACAACTTTTCAGAACTGTAGGTACCAATTAAACTCAATTAATTTGAGTGCCTGCCTCCCTTACATTGTCACCAGCACTAGGTATGAATAATCTTTTGGAATTTTTAAAGTAACACGTTAAACTATGAGTTTAAGTCACTTTACCTTGGTATTTTCCACATTTTTCAGTGCCAAGAGGAAAAGTAGGTGTCCATCAGTGAAGTGTGTAAAAACTACTCCCCGTAGAGCCATCATAGAGAACCCATAGATCCTAGTAATTCTAGAAACCCATGTGGGAATATGGGATAAAGCAAATGTACACACTGGCTTCTAATGCTTGTAAGAAAGCAAAGCAAATTTAATGAATATAGCCCTGCCCTTGATAAGTACCAAAAAAATAAAATCACCACTTCTAAAATGGCACTCATCTTAAGGCAAAATACAGTCTCTAAACCCGAAGATCCTTACTAGGGCACTAAAGTGGGCAGAATCCTAAAACAGCCCCACACTTTTCCATGTTCCACTTCTGTATAATAACGTGCTTCTACACAATACAATGTCGTTCAGGTTATATGGCAAAAATTGAAGAATGTCATCATTACATATCCTAAAAAAGCAATTTAGCTAGTTGGAGAGATACTCCCTTACTGGCTTTAAAGGCAAGATGCCATGTTATGAGAGCCTATGGAGAAGCCAGCTGGCAAGGAAATGTAGGGGATAGCTAGAAGCTGAGAACAGCCCCTACTCAACAGAAGACCCACAAGAAAACATCCAACTCTGGCCAAACTGCTACCAGAGAGAGCCTGGAAGTCCATCTTGCCCCAGCAGAGCCTCTGCTGACTTTGAACTGCATATAGAACATGCTATGAGACCCTGAACAGAGGACCCAGATAACAACCTAGAAGATAGACTTGATGGATGTGAGCAGTTTGGAGCTTTTACACTTGTGGTTTAAAAAACAATTAAAAAACCAGCACAAACATACATGATTCTTACTAACATCATGATAATTATTAACACTAAGCTTTTTTTTATTATTTAATTAGTACCAACTACACTTTTATGAATAAGGGCTTTGAACAGCCTCACCCCCATTGTTAAGATAAATAGATACATTTTAGTTTTAAAAAAATTTCCAAAGATGAGAACGTTAAAAAACTAACTACTCACAAAAGGTAGAGTGCACTTCCGTACATGACCAAACTGTGCAAAGTGTTCTCTCAGCTCACCTGAATGGAAGGGTGGGGAAGAGAAAACAAAGAGATGGTTAGTCTGTAGGCAGTTCTGGTGACCTAGTGTTAAGGAGCTGAGCGGCCAACCGACTGGCACAGAGTCGGCAGCTACCAGCTGCTCCACGGGAGAGGGATGAGCAATCTCCTCCCCTGCGATTTACTGCCTCTGGAAATCCACCGGAGGGTCCAACATGGGTTGCTTCTGACTCAATGGTACCCAACAATAAGGGGTTTTGTATTCTGCATCCTAGATGCAGGCAGAATTCGAAAGGAGTCCTTTGAGTTCCGGAATGTCTGAACAGAAGTAATTCTACATATCCTTGGAGCCTTAATATTTAGAAGACAAGGCATTGACTAGGCAGTCTGGGTGGTACTGAGTAACCCTAAGGTGCTCAGAGGGGCCAAGGAAGAAAAGCCTGGTGATCTTCTCCTGAAAGGTCACAACCTTGAAACACCCAATGGAGAAGTTCTACTCTGTACACACAGGGTCCCCATGAGTGAGAATCAACTCAGCAGCAAATAACAATATGGCCCTGGCTGTATCTGATGGCCTAAGGGTAAGAGGTTGTGCTGTAATTCCAAAGGCACACCATTCGAAACTACCAGCTGCTTTGCGGAAGAGAGGTAATCTCCTCCCAAGTGATTAACTGCCTCTGAAAACCTGCTGAAGGGTCAACTACGGGTTGGTTCCAACTTGACCGTGCACAACATGTGCTACCTGTGTGGATTATAATCCCTCTGTGAGAAAAATAACGGTCTCCAAATTTACAAATGAGCTTTCCAAATAAAATACCAACTTAATTCAAGAGCACTTGAATTAAGACTCCTGGTACCCAACAACATTCTCATCCAGAAAGAAGCAGAATACTGCACATGCTCTGTGACAGCGATTCCTATGAAAGACGGAGCAAATTCAGGAAACAGTGTGAGGTAAAGACACCGCAGCAGTGGCAGCAGATACAGAGAGAGCAGAGTACCAAGACTGCTGTGAGAGAGTCGAGCTGGGTCTTGAGACCTGTGGAGGTAGAAGGGAGTCCAGGCCTTGGCGAGTGGCACATAATTGGCAGAACTAAGAGCTCTGTAAGATTTGCAAAAGCAAGTCAGTGGCTAAGGAGGGAGGCCTGCCAGCAAGCACACTTGAAAAAAGGTTATCCTGACGGAAGAAGTCTATCTTTCGTGTTCCTGGCCTGAATTGTCATCTGTTACTTTCCTATTAAGTTGTGTGTGGTCACTGCAACGAGTCAAACCTAATAGCAGAGCAGTGAGAGCTATGGAGGTACAGTAGTGCTGGAAATATTTAGAGTGCAGAGAATGAGGGGCATGTCTGACTTTACAGGAACTGCAGAGAGCAGACATTCTTCCTCTTCGTCAGAATCAGCTGCACAGCCGTGGGTTACAAAAACTTTTTTTTTAATTTTTATTTTTATTGTGTGTGTACAATCAAATCAGATCTGACTGGTACAGGAGGGAAATTTTCCCTCCTTCTCCGGCAGAGCATCTGGTGGATTTGAACCGTGTACCTCTGGGAATGCAGTACAGCTTCTTGCCACTAGGCCACCAGAGCTCCCCTAGGTTACAAAAACTTTTGATTGTTATGAATCAGGGTGAAGTCTCTCTCAGGGAGGAGTGATAGGGAATGGCAAAGGACACACCGACAAAGGAGATTAATCAGAACTGACTTTGACAAGCACTGTGGCAATTGGACAATTAAAACAGACATTCAGAGATGGCGGGGAAGAACAAACTGGGGAGGAGGGTGGAGAGAATGGTGCAGGAATGAAGGAGTGAAAGCCCAGAATCCCTGTGAGTGTTCACTGAAACTAATAAAATTTAATAATAAAAAAAAACCTTTTGATTGAGCTTAATTTCCCATCACACGTTGTTTGTTGTTGGTAGATGCCATCTACCATGCTTGCAACTCATGGCAACCTATGTACAACAGCTCCAAAATGTGCTCTATCCTGTGCCAACTTTACTGTCTTTGACACATCTGGCCCCAGTCACTGTATCAGTCCACCTCATTGAAGGTCTCCCTCTCTTCGTCCTCCCACCCTTCCAAGTATGACATCCCTCTCCAAGGACTTGTCATTCCTTACAATATTCCCAAAGTATGTCAGACGAAGCTTCAGAATCCTTGCCTCCAAGGAGCAACCTGGCTTCACCCTCTCTCGGATGAACCTGTTTGTTCCTGGCAGTCCATGGTATATTCAACACTCTTCTCCAGCACCACATTAAGATGAGACAAACACTATACCCCTACTTTTCACTCTTGTAACACAAAAACCAAATGTGTTGAAGCATTATTGTTATATATTCTGGTAAGAAAATAGAAAAACCTCATCTCAAAACTGCAGATGATAAAAAGCAACATTAGTGAGACATCAGTAGTCATTCTCCCACCCCTTTAACTCTAACCTAGGTCTTTACCATGAGCTTCACTTTTGTCATATTCATGAAAATAACTATCTAGCACAAGTTTAACCAGTTTAGATAGAAATTCATTTATCTTCTCAACAATCCTTCATTTGAGGTAGGTATGACTATCTCCATTTTACAGATGACAAAACTGAGGCCTAAGGGTGAGCCCTTTTCCCAAAGTCTATGAAAGCAAATGACTGTGGTAGGCAAAGGGAGCTCTAGTGGCCTCGTTCATAGGGAACTGAGCTGCTAACACAATGGCCGAGCATCTCTGAATCCACCACAGCTCCATGATGAGCAATCTCCTCCCATTTGATTCACAGCCCAGTGGAGGGTAAGCAATGAATCAAGTCTCAATGTCTGATTGTCAGCAAATCTGCTCCCAAGAATCTCTTTCAAGAGTGAAAGAGCAAGGATGTCAATTTCCATTGCTTTAGATGTACATGAATGTTGGATAATAAATAAAGGAGATGGAACGAAAATGGATACTTTTGAACTGTGATGTTGTCAACTACAGAATATATTGTAGACTACCAAAAGAACAAGCATCTGTCTCAGCAGTTGTTCCACCACATCACTCCTTAAATGCAAGGATGGGAGACTCCTATACTTTGGGTCTATTACCAGGAGGGGCTAGTTCTTAGAGAAGTACATCGTGCTTTCGAAAAGTAAAGGGTCGGCCAAGGAAAGGAAGTCTTTCAATTAGATGGCATGGCGCAATTTCAGCAAATGTTGTGAAGATGGTACAGGATCCACCAGGGTTTCATTCTGCTGTACAATGATGTGGCAACCAACAGTAGTCAAGTTATAGAGAGCTAGAAAGAAACCTGGCTGGGATTCTAATCCACGAAGTCATTTCCCACCACTGAGTCATAATAATATACAGTCTCTCTGTCCAATTGCTTGGCCAAGACCTCGAAGGCTTCTCAAACTCAACATCCAACTTTACTGCACACATTCCAACCACACAACTCACCCATGCTAAAAACCCACAAGTCGTTCCTCCCTTCCCTTTATTCAATACTCTTGCACAACTGCTGCCATCAAGAAGCACTCTTGATTTTGTTTTGTAGGTAATGTGTGGCTCGCCAGACACATTTTCTTCCTTTTTTTTTTTTTTTTTAAGAGGTCCCTTGTGCTTTATTGAGTGAGAAAAGCCCCCTGGGCCCCCATCTTAGCGTTACTGTGGGTGCTGGGTCCAGACACCTTTTCATCCTTTCTACCACTACTCGTTGGGGTCCTCATTTGCAAACTAAAATATTTAAGCTTGAATTTGGGGCGGACTTCCTTGCCTACAATCTTGCCATCACAATTCTAACTGTATTCCACGCTGCACTGGGAAAAAAATCATAATAAAAAAACTACTGTTCGGGCAATTCTGACTCATGGTGCATCCACGTGTCTATGGTGAACAAGATTGGTTTTCAATGCTATTTTTGGGGAAGCTTATCTCTCGACTCCAGATACGGAGAGGCCCTCGTCTTTAGTTAACAAAATCGTTCACATCACCCTGTACACTTGAAAATAAAATGCCTCTTAAACCTTAAGTATGAAAGTTGCCAACAGGTCCACAAATTCATGCCTCCAAATATCCCTTAACTCAGTTCAGTAGACCGCAAACAAAATTTTTTGCCCATCAATTCGCTCCGGTGCACGTTCCTAGTGCAGCCCCCACGCTGACCTTACAATTTCGCAGAAATCAGAGCTTTTGAGACCCATGTGCACCTCAAAGCCCTGCCCATCCCATCTTTCCATCACTCACTCACGGACGCGGTCCAGGGGATTTTTCGGACAAAGGCCACGGGTCGCCTAATGTTCGTTCGTAGGGCCATGGCGCTCCTCATCGCCGAAGCCGCCATCTTCACCTCAAAGTGTCTCCGTGACCTGAGCCCGCGACCCCTTAAGAAGATGCAGGGCTCTGCGCCTGGGTTTCCGCTTCCGGGTTAGCAAGGTCAGGCCGCGAGATGGGGAAGATGGCGGCCGTCGTGGGTTCTGCGGCGGCGCTGGCAGTCGAGCCGGGGGAGGATGCCTTTAGGAAACTTTTTCGCTTCTACCGACAAAGCCGTCCCTGGAGCGCGGACCTGGGAGGTGTCATCGACTTCTCGGCGGCTCACACTGCCCGGGGCTCAGCTGCCCACAAGGTACGGGGTGGGCAGCGGCGCGCGCCTCCGAGGGGTTTCGCCTTCCTCGTTCCCGTTCACTCCCAGACCAATTGTCGGTCGAGCTCGCCCCGCGCTCCCGGACTTTCTCTGCTTCCTCATCGTCACGCTTTCCCGGGTGCCACGCGTTTGTCCAGGCGGTCATGACCACTGACAGCCTGGGTCAGAAAATGGTTTAGGACTGGTATTTATTCTTTTCGTGTACAGCCCTACTTCACTTGTGCAGAATGTCGTAAGACGGTATCTCAGACTTTGGAATAGTCTCCCGCAGCTTTGGGGGGGAAACAGCCCGAATCATCTCGGAACTCGCTTCCGATGCTGTCAGCCAAGCACCTGTCCATAAAACCCTTTGCGCCTTCCGTGAACCTTAAAACACGTTAAACATTCAGCAAGGAGAATATGCTTTGAGCACATGAAAACTCGGACTCAAGATCAGAAGGAACATATTGCGAAGTTGCTGTTGCAGGACTCGCGGGGAGAGCAGTTAACCAACGTAACTGGCGAGGGAAGAGACAACGAAAATCTCTTAAAGCTCAGGGGGGTTGTTCCGTTTAGCTCAGGAGCCCTTGCTGAGCTGGGTGGCACAAGAGTTGCTGCAGTGCTGGATGGCAGATGTGGTGAAGGGTGGCTTAGTGTCACTTGTTCGTATAGGATGGTTGTGAGTCCGCAAAACTTAACAACTGCTGAACGATTGGAACTTGGAATCTACCCAGGGATCCGCTTCACTTACGTGTTACACAAAGAGTTGATTCTGATGCGTGGAGGCCCCACTTGTTTGAGAGTAGAACTTAAAGCACCCCAGGTTTTCATGGTTGTGTGACCTTTGAGAGGCAGAGCATCAGGCCTTCATCTCAAGGCACTCTGCATAGATTGAACTGTTGACCTTTCTCATCACCTAGGGATTGCAGCCACTGAAAACCCCATGGAGCACAGATTTGTGAAACGCATGGGATTACCTTGTGTCAGAATCTGGGTGGCAAGGCAGCAGGTTTGGTTTTAGTACATCAGCCCCTTGGTTTTAAGTGGAATTCTACATATTTGGAAATGTTGATAGGCTGAAAGTTGAAATAGACCAATAGCTGACCTGCCAGTGAGTTTTCAGGAGGCTGTAAGTCACTGTAGAGGAGGTGGCCCATCTTTCTCCCAAGGAATTCAGACCGCCACAGAGGTGCCACTTTTGGGTGAGCAGAATGCCCTTTTGCAAGAGAACGGTTTGTTGTTGTTGTTGTTGTTTTTAAATCTTCTAAAGAAACACAGATCCTAAGTTTATTCATAGAAGAATACGGTTTGGGGGTTTTTTAGTGTCATTTAGTGACCATGTTGAGTCCCTTAACGAATTTAATGAGTCGTTTATGAGCTACTGTTATTTGTAAAGAAAAGCTCATCAGACCCAGAAATACTTCATTTCTAAATAACAAAAATAAAATTTCCACGCTTCAGTTTGACTTTTCTTCTAAAAGAAAGCAAGGATCATGCTTTCTGCAAGATTCTTAGCATTTTATCGGAATCTTTTTGCTGTCTTGTTAGAGTACTATTTGCATTCTCTCACTTGTCCCCTGCTTCTTGTTCTTCATAGCTTTGTTATCTAAATGCTGACTGTATTTACGTTTCTCTGAAGCAGTTATTAATCCTAACCAAATTAAATAGCCTTGCTATTCAAGGTATTTCGATAAACCAAACATCTTCCATAGCTGAGAGTCTTATAAAAAATGACAAATGTATGCTATCAGGGGATAAGTACTTTTGAAGGTCCAAATCAGCCTACTTAATTGTATGCTACAGGTTTTCTCTTCACCACCTTTCTTAATTTTATGTTGTTCCCTCATGTTATTAGTATTGAGGTGACAGGAAAAAGATTCTGAGAGTTCAAGTGACTCGTCTGAGATCCTAAATATAATGTGGTGAAGTGGAAACTAGGCCCCAGGGCTTCTGACTCCTTGCTTTGCCCTGAACCAGAAACATCTTTGGAGGCGGGAGTTGATCTGTTAAATGGCTTGAGGCCTCTGACTTCTGTTTCTCTCCTGGCAGGTGGTCAGATCTCCGCTTAATGTGTCCTCAGTCAATGAACACGATGCACGTAGAGCAGGACTTCAGCCTGTCAGCAAGTGGCGAGCCTATGGCCTAGAAGGCTATCCTGGTGAGTCTGTCCGACCGCAAAGAAGGTGAAATCATCATGCAGGAATCATTTGTCAATTTTCCAAGAGAAGTTGTAAGCAAGCATAAATAGACAAAGGAGGAAATTGAACTCTCATAAATGTGAAACTGAACGGTTATAAATGTTCTACTCATAAATTCATCCTAAATTCTGCCTTATCCAAGGTTTCCGTTTATGAGACATTGACTTGTCTTTCCCAAAGAATAGAACAAAAATCAGCAGTACCTAACCTTATATGGCAGAAAGTGAAACATCAGATACAAATCAAGAGGACATTTATTCTGGGCTCCCTGCCACAGTCCTGACTACCTACTGTGGCAAAAGAACCACTTTGAAGGACAGAATAATCCATAATTGCCACTCTGTACACTCCCTGGCTTCCCAGATGGTTTAACAACTTAAAATTAGTGTTATCCAAACTGAAACTGAAAAGAGAAGTATGATTATGGGGTCAAAAGTCAGAGTAAAAAAAATGAAATTGAAAACAAAGTGGTTTTTAAAAAAAAAAAAGTCATAGTCAATTATATAGGGTGAAGTTCTGTATTTTTGTTGCTTTTCAGACTGTACCGAAGTTACCATCCTAATTCTAATTTTGTAATGCTCAAATTGATGTACTTGCTTTTTGAGGTTTTTCTGACACTTTACCCACATCATGTGACTTACTAATTAGAGATTTCTTTCCACTGTAGTAGACATAATAATATTTCAAACACAGGCAATGATATTCTTCCCTTACTCTGATTTGGTCAAAAGGATTCTCTCTTCTGTGTTCTATTTATTCTGAAAGGACTTTAATATACTACAGCCTGCCTTAAGAGAGCAAGCAAGAAGATAATCTATCTAGAAAGCAGAGAAAATAGAAACTTAATCTGGGAAAGGGAAGACTTGGGGAGGATGTGAAAACAGTTTGGACAGAAGTATGGCAGCTTCTGACTTCCAGTAACTACAAATAACAAGAGGAAAAAGACTCCCAAGCTACAGCAGTCCACAGTTGATTTGTGTGAGGTCAGATGTACCACCCACTGCGCTCTCACCTTTTCTACCCATTCTGACTCCAGCCATCCTTTTGATGCCACTCACTGCTTCCTTGCTAGCAATGTGTTGAGATGGCCCCAGAGAACTCACAGTACTCAAAATTTGGGGGTTTATTAGGGTAGTAACAGATTACAGTTCAGTTCATAAACAATTCAGAATATAGTTTTTCACCCAGGACAGTTTAGAGGTACCAAAAGATAGCCCTCTCTCTGACCCTCAACCTCTACCAGCAAGTATTAAGAAACTCTATTGTTAGCTGTGAACAAAAGATCTAAACCTTGTCCTGTCTTCCTTACAATCTCTGATATGTTCAAGCACATTGTTCCAGTCACTCTGCCAGTCCATCTTGTTAATAGTATTCCTCTCTTGCCAACCCTCTACCTTTCTCAGCATGATATCCTTTCCAAGGACTGGCCCCTCCAGACATCATGTCCAAAATATGTGAGATGAGGTTTCACCTTCCTTGCCTCTAAGCAAAAACTCCTTTAGCTCTTCCAACTCTCAGCAACCTTACTTATACAAATGACACATGACACAACATGGGTTGGGGAATGTGAATCTTTGAAGCACTTATTGAAGGGAAAAAATTACAGCCTTCAATATGGATTACATCTCAACATTAAGAAAACAAAATTCCTCATCAATAGGCTGATGTACAATATCCTAATAGATGGAGAAAAGATTGAAGTTGTCAGTGGTTTTGTTTTACTTGGACCCTCATTAAACACTCATGGTAGCAGCAGTCAAGAAATCAAAAGACATGTTCCACTGGGAACATGCTGTCAAGGTCATCTCCAAAGTGCTAAAGAGCAGTCATTTCAGGGTAAAAGACTAAGGTGTGCTTGATCCAAACCAGGGTATTTTCATATTTTTCCTGTATATCTGAATGTTTAATAGTGAATAAGGATGATTGAAGAAAAATCAGTACCTTTGAATTATGTTACATACTATGGACTGCCAAAGAATAAACAGTTCTATCCATGAAGGAAGTGCAACCAGGGTGCTCTTTAGAGGCAAGGATAGTGAAACTTAGTCTCACATACTTTAGACATGTTATCATCAGAAGGACCAATCCCATGATAGGAAAGGGGTCGAGGCAGCAAAAGAGAAAAACAAGATGGATTGAGACATTGATTGGAACAATGAGCTAGAGTGTATCAGAGGTCATGAAGGTGACACAAGTTAAGGCAAGGCTCAGATCTGTTCATAGAGTCAGTTACAGTCCCAGCAGCACCCCATGTTGCCACCAAGCCTAGACTCAAAGGCACTCAGTTCCAGCTCCGTGGGTCAGCAAACCTAGCTCCTAGAAAGTCCCTGAAGACAGACACTCCACCAGCAAGCACTCAACTTTCTCTCTGTGAACCAGGAGTCCACAGCTCTGTCTCACATTGGTTTCTGCTACCCTACTGCCCCAACTTGCTTCCTGCCATCTCATTGCTCTCTTGGTCTTACACTGTCTCTCCAGTGTTAGAGCTTTCCATCTCTGCTTTGTGTAGGTACCTCAGGTCCA